ATTTTTTGAAAAATAACACACACACAACCACAACCACACAGATACACCCTAAAACAGTTTCAACACACAAGTGGCTCTTAGGCCTATGGTGGGAAGAAGTTTGATTTTTGAAAGGAGGAAGGAACACCCAGTTTGGACCCCCCTCCCCCCCAGGTTCTGTTCTGGGTCTGCAAGATGTCATCTCTCAGCAACTTTCCTGGGGCTCTGCCTCTTCCTGACCCTCCTGTAGCCTGGGTACTAGGTGAGAATGAGTTCCCTCAAAATCTGGAACTGTGGAAAGTTCCCCCACCCACCCATTCTTTCTCTTGGCCTGCCCTCTGCTGGGTTAAGCTGGGTCAGACAGCAGGGGTTTGGCAGCGGTGAAGTCTGGGTTCTATGAAACAGTGAGAAAAGGCTGCTGTGGAAAACTAGGCTTACACAAGAGCTCCCAGGGCTGGAACAGAGTTTGCCTGGAGGGAAAATGCACCTGAGATCAGATCTAGAAAAAGTATAGTCAGCTTTGAGATTCCCAAGGGCTGGCACAGGACTGCTTTAAGGGTGAGATGGATTGATGGAGAAGGCAAAAAGGGTGAAGTCAGCAAAGGAGGGCAGTGAAAGGATTCAATCATGTCTATCAAGAGAAACAGAATCTTTTTTTTTTTTTCCTCTCCATTCCCAAAGAATATCAAGGACTGTTGCATTTCTTATTATACATGGGGTGTGGGTGGGAAAACCAATAAATGCAGAGAGGAGGGTCCAGAAAGGGGAGAGGTCTGTCTGTTAAGTTCATGTGTGAGTCAGGAGACAGCTTTGGTAATAGAAGCCAGGCCTCTGAGGCTCTTGGGAGCTCATCCCACAAGGGCAAGCTGTGGGAGTGGGAGTGATAGAATGGTAGTAGAGCCTTCCCTAGCTCCTGCCTTTTGGAAATAATCTTCTCCTGTACAGCCTCTTAAACTGTCACTCGAACTCCAAACCTGGACTTTTTCCTTGGTTTCATGATTTTTCCCCTCAAGGCTGCTGTAATCTTGATGTTCCCTCTATTCCTCCTGGGCTGTCTGAGGACACTTTGCTAGGGACTTGTTGCCTCATCTCCCCTCATTCTCCAGGCTTCAGACTTGTAAGAGTATATATAGGTGAGAGTGTGTGAAGCTTGGTGGGCCATGATACGGTTCATGCTACGTCTCTGAGTAGTCCTGATGGACAACATTAAAAACACATATTTAAGGAGTCTATTGTGAGCAGCCAATGGGATAGCGTATAAGCAGTACAGGATTTTTTTTTTTTAAACAGCACTGGGGAGCCTTAGACTTCTGAGGTGGCACTCTATCACCAAGCTGCATGCCCAGCCCAGGTTCTTGTCTTTATGGAGCTTGCAAGGAGAGTGAGAGTCAGGTGTCTGGTTCTCAGTTGCCTATTACCCTGTAAACATTCACATTTTATGTGTGTAATACTGGGGATCAAACCCAAGGCCTCAAGCATGCTAAGCCCATGCTCTACCACTGAGCTACCCCTCCAACCCTAGTCTTAAATCAACTTTTATTTGCTTTATTATTTTCACGTAAATAATTCTTACCACATATTTATTCATTTTGCATGCCACAATGAATGTATGGCTGTTAGAGGACAACTTTCAGGAGTTAGTTCTCTCTTGTGGATCCCAGAGTTTGAACTCAGATCATCAGGCTTGGCAGCAGACACCTTTACCTGCTGGGCCATCTCGCTGCCTATTTATTTGGATATGTAGCTAAGGGTGGCTTTGAATTCTTTATCCTCCTGCCTCCACTTTCCAAGTGCACAATAATTTTTTTTAATTTTGTTTTGAGACAGGGTCTTGCTACATAGTCCTGGCTGAACTGGAACTCAGCATGCAGACCAGGCTGGTTTCAAATTGCCTGCCTCCCAAATCTGGGATTTCAGGTATGAGCCACCATGGCCAGCTTTCAAATGAATCTTTCTTTTCTTTTTCTTTTTTTTTTTCGACAAATTCTCTTTGCAGTCCCAGCTGGCCTGAAACTCACTATATAGACCCGGTTGGCCTGGATCTCACAAAGATCTGCCTCCCTCTGCCTTCATGCTAGGATTAAAGGTGTGCGCCACCACACTGGGGTAGCCCAACTTCTTGAACTGTGGGTTGTAACCCCATATGGGTTTCATGTAACTGAATGTGAGGCCACAACATTTCTAGCAACAGTAAAAGGTTTCTGAATGTGTTATAACCAAAAACTAATTCAGAATCCAATATCATGTGACTGCTGTAGGCTTGGTTCTGACCATACAACAGGCACTATGCATTGTAAATGTCACCATGCTATGTAACCACTGCCTGAAACACCTCAGCAAAGGTTCAAGACTATTGTGTTAAGACTTGCAGTGTTAATATTTTTGCTACACATACAAGATTTTCTGCCCTTATACAAACATAATGATTTAATTATGGAAAATACAGAGTTTAAACTATTTTCCTACCATCAAGCCTTAGAAAGCATCAACTTAGTTTATCTTTGGATTGTATTGTGTTAGAAAGTTTGGTTTAAAAAAATTGCTGTTGCTGGGGCTAGAGAGATGGCTCAGTGGTTAAGAGCACTGACTGCTCTTGCAGAGGATCCAGGTTCAATTCTCAGCACCCACATGGTGGCTACGAACTGTCCTTAACTCCAGTTCCAGGGGAATCCGAAGCTCTCTTCTGACCTCTGCAGCATTGCATGACAAGGGTGCACTCACATACATGTAGGCAATACACTCATACACATAAAATAAAAACAATAAAATAAAATTTAAAAATTTCTATTGCTGACGAGTTTCATAAAAAGTCATTAAATAAGGGGCTAGGGAGATGGTTCAGAGGGTAAAGTGCTTGCTGTGTAAGTATGAGGACCTGAGTTCAGATTTCCAGCACCTATGTAAAAGTTGGTAGAGAAGCGATTGAGGAAGATAGCTTAATGTCAAACTTTTACCACTACATACATCTGCACACAAAACATACACACACACAAAACTGTTAAATGAGTTTCAGTTTTGGATTAGGACAGAATTTCCAACAATTTCTGAAAGGGCTCTAAACATACTTCTGCCATTTTGTCCTACATATTTATGTGAAGTGATATCCTCAGAATTGACAATTATAAAGTTAGAGTGTTGATCAACTCTGAAAAATGTTAAAGATACTCTATGTCTAGCAGTATCAAATATTCAACCAAGATTTAATTCTTTATGTAAAACAAACATCTTTCTTTTTTTTTTTTTTTCTTTTTGAGACAGGGTCTCACTATGCAGCTGTGGTTGACCTGGAACTATGTAAACCAGGCTGGCCTTGATCTCACAGAGATCTGCCTGCCTCTGCCTCCTGAGTGCTGAGATTAAAAATATGCACCACATACCCATCTACTTTCATTTTTAATAAATGGAAAAGTTATATGTGCTAAAGAATTATAAATTTCTTTATGGTTTATTATCAATCAGTAAATGTTTAATTTGTATACTGTTTTATATAACTGTTTACCTGGGGTTGCAAACATGTCTTGGAGCTCAAGTTTGAGAAAAAAAGTTTAAGGGCTGGAGAGATGGTTCAGCTGTTAAGAGCACTGGCTGCTCTTGAGGAGGACCTGGGTTTGAATCCCAGCACCCACATGGCAACTAGCAACTGCCTGTAACTCCACTTCCAAGGGATCTGCTCTTTCTCTGACCTCTGCAGGCACTGCATGACATGAGACACTTGTATTTGCAGGCATAACACTCATACACATAAAATAAATATAAATAAAATTTTAAAAATCAAAAAAAGTTTAAGACCCAAAAAGAACAAGCAGCAGCAGCGATGAGCTCAGAGGGGTGAGGCTGTAACTCAGTGGCAGAGAACTTGTCTAAAGTATTCAAAAGCCTGGTTTCCATTTCCCACACTGAAGGAAAAAAATGGCACCAGAGCCTAATGAAGATTCAGATGTAGGAGGGAGCAGACGGCATTCTTAGCTTGTTTAGCTTGAAGGGACCATCAGCTCAGGCAGTTTGAAGCAAGGAAAGAAGCCTGCACTATCAGGAGAGGGTGGCCCTGTCCCAAGGAACAAAACCCACAAAGAAGATAAGTATGGTTTTACAGGCACCCAGGAATATTGTTAGCACCTTCAGGCTTGCAGCTTGGGTTGGGGCTCATGGAAAGGATTACACTGAAAGCTTGAGCTAAATGGGAGGATTATTCCTAGTATTCATTAAAGCTTTTTTCCCCAAGCTCATTATAGGTTTAATGTCTTGTCTCTGTTGCTGGACTGTGAGGTTTTCAAAGGCTTTATGTTCACAGCACCTAACAATTCCTGACCAGAACTTCAATAGTTATACTTCCCCCCTCTTCAAATATTTACTGAACAAATGACATTATCACTTAGGCTCCAGACAATTGTAAAATGCCGAATTTTTCCGGTAACTAGTATGGGCACATTGCCCTAAACTTGCTGTCTTCATGGATATAGAAATGAATTTACTCGGGTCTGCAAGTGAGTGAGGAGCTTGGTTGAGACAGGGCCTCTGGAGGGTCCAAGGCTCCGGAGAAGTAGGCATTTCAAAGAGGGGAAGGTAAGAAAAAAGAAAATCTCCCCTGTGTTTATTTTGAGCTACACCCAAAGTGTAGTCGATCTCTGGTCACTGTAACTGGGAGCCTGGGCGGGGTTGGGGGGCTAGAGGGCCACTAGGGTTTGGGTTAAGTTTATTTTCCATTTCGCAGCCCAGGCTTTCTGCCGGAGAGATAGAGATCTCATCCCCAAATCTCTTCAAACCTCTAGATTGCTGGTAGAGCACCCTGTCATTACACACTCTCCCTCCCCGCCCCAGTCCTGTCCAGCCCAGCCCAGCCATTCGAAAGAAGAGTCACGGAGTTGGTGACATGATGAGGGGCCGAGATCTTCGTCTCTCTGCAGATGCACTCACAGGAGGAGTTAATTTCTCCCGCCTGGCTCCTGGGCTCCACCCCTTCTCCCCTCTCCGCGGTCCTGGCGGGCTTCCCCTGGAGGGGGCGGCCCCAGCAGCAGAGCTAGGCCGGGCGGAGTTCTGGCCCGGGCGGAGCCGCAGCTACAGCGTCCAGCTGCCGGACGGAACTCCAGTCGTGCAAGGCAGCGGGAGCGGCGCGACCCTTCCCGCACTCCAGCCCACCCCTGAGCCTCCCGAGCCCCCTCCTCCCTCCCGCACCTCTGCTGGTAAGTCGTGCTGTCCCCACCAAACTTTGTGGCTGTCAAGTTTGAAGTCCTGCGGCCGGACTGGGAGCCACACGGGAGTTGCTGTGTTAGGGGGAGGAGGTGAAGGACTGGGAACTGTTCACAAGCCCGTAATTTCCCAAAAAAGGACCGGAGCGCATGGTTTCAAGAGGGGGCAGAACTCTCGGTTTTCGCTGGCTCAACTTGTCGAGATGGAGATGGAGGGTATTGGCTCCAACTTCGCCACCCCTCCCCCATTTCCCTGAGCTCTAGCAGTTCCGGATACTCTCCCTCCATCTTTCAAGTATCTTAGGCTCCCTAAAAGATCATCCCTCCCAATTCTGGCGTGGCAGCCCCCTCCCCGAGGCCCTTCTGGCCCGCCTCCTCTCGGTGACCCAGCGGGACCGCGCGGGCTCTGGGCTGCACACTCTCTCCGGGTCCACCGTCTAGGAAGCTGGTCACAAACGTGCCGGGCCGGCCAGGCGGCTCGAGGAGGGGCGGAGGCCTTGGCTTGTCCGGAGCCCGGCGGGCGGGGCGGAGAAGGGGAGTGTAGGGGGCCGGACGGGGCGGAGCAGGCGGCATTTGCGGCCGGCGCCGGGGCGGAGAGTTGTGCGCCGGTCCCTGGGCCTGAGCTCTTGCTCCGGCTGGGGCGCTTGCGATGTCTCAAGATGGCGGAGCTGGGCGAGTTAAAGGTACCGGCCCCCTCCCCCAGCCCCATCTGGACTGTGCTCGGCGGCGCGGCGAGTCGGGGAGGCAACCGCGGCTAGGAGCCGCGGGCTCGGGTGGGCGCGGGAGACGTGGCAGGACGGGCTGCCGAGGATGCGCGGGCAGCCGCTGCGGGGAGGAAGGGGCTGCGGCGCTCTGGGGGCGGGGCCGCGGGGCAGATGCAGGGGTGGGGCCGAAGAGAATTGCCGCCGCTGGGTGCCGGGGCACAGGGGGCGGGCCGCGGCCCAGGGGTAGATGGAGGGTAGATGGGAAAAGCTGCTCTCAAGGCATAGGGGCGAGTCCTTCAGGCCAGGAGATGCGACAGTAGAGGGGAGACGTTAGGGAGGGGGGCAAATGTCAGGAAGGTTCCTGGGGACTTGCAGGTAGAGGGTGGAGGCTTTGGGGCTGCCGTTGGCATCCAAGCCTTGGGAAGTACCAGTAGGCGGCTGAGACATAGGGGGCGGGGCTGTGCGGGCCCATACCTCGAGGGGTGGGGCAGGAGCATCCTGGAGGCTGAGGGGAAGGAACTGTCTTAATGAGTCGCTGTGGTTGGAGAGATGGAGTGTGAACTGTGGATAAAAAGGAGAGAAGTATAGGCAAAGCTGATGGAGAGATAAAAAGCCAGAGAAAAGGATGAAGGAAAGGTAGAAGAGCAAGTTTTTCATCACATTCCTGAAAAAGGGTCCAGGATAACTGTGGAGAGCTAATGACCTGCCCATGAGGAGGTCTTCTAGAGATTGACAGAACAGAGCCCTTTAAAGAGAGTTGTCATCCCACCACCACAGTCTTAAGGTAACCACATCTGTGGACATCTCGCAGAACGTTAAATCTCTGTGTTCATCCCCCTGTCTCCTGGCTTTGTTCCACCCTTCTCTTAGACAGGCTTGAGTTTTAGCCACTGGGTTCATTCCCCTTTAGGAGCTTACTTCTGGGTCCATAGGCCCCAACCTCATTCTCCTGGGTTCTCTGTTGAGAACTTTGCCTTTGTTTCCATCCCTGTAGGTGTGTGTGTTTGTAAGGTTGGCATCACTTCTTTTCTTCATGTATGAGGGAGAGAAGCAGGATATTAGTTCCTGGCAGATGGAATAAACAGATAATAAGGACAGTTACCACAAGATTTGGTTTCCTTCCCTGTAAATAGCATTAAGGGGTACTGGAGAGATGGCTTAGAGGTTAAGGGCACTGACTGCTCTTGCAGAGGACCTAGGTTTGTTCCCAGCACCCACATGGTGGCTAACAATGGTCTATAACTCCAGTTTCAGGGTATCTGATACCCAATTCTGGCCTCCTCTGACAGTGTACACCTGGTGCACTTAAGGTCATGCAGACACTCATACACATAAAATAAAAATAAATGCGGGGCTGGAGAGATGGCTCATTGGTTAAGAACACTGATTGTTCTTGCAGAAGACCTGGGTTCGAATCCAAGCACCCACATGGCAGCTAACAACTGTCTGTAACTGCAGTCCCAGGGGATCCAACAGCCGCTTCTGACTTCCATGGGCATTGCATGACGCGGGTGCACTTACCTACATGCAGGCAACACACGCATACACATACAGATTATTAAAAAATATTTTAAAAATTTAAAAAATACAATGTTAAAAGCAGGACTGAGGGAAAATGATACAAGAAAAGATTTGAGGAGTTATGAGTGTTGACCTCCGAACTAAAAACCTTGGCCATTAAAGCTTCAATTTCGAAGCTTCGGGAAAATAGAAGAGGATGGAGGTGATTGGAGGGGTGGGCTGTGGGATATAATCCTCCTGCCACCTGGCCTCTTTCTTCCCATTGGGACTGTCTGCCCTGAATCCTCTTTCTCTCCCTCCCTCTTCTTGGGTCCTATCATTTTCCCATGAGGTTAGAGTCTGAGCCCAGGAGAGGATATAATCCCCTTAAGGGAATGTCTGGACTGGGGCAGGGATGGGGGTAAGGGGCCCTTGTGGGTTCAGAGGGGGCTGAGCATGGCCTGCTGCCTGCTCTCACTCCAGGCATGGGGAGATAAGTTTGCTCAAGATCTTGGAGGTGTTGGTGAGGCTGACCTGAGAGTTGTTAAAGCAACTATGATGTCTCTTTGACCAGATCAGATACTTTGGCCACTGTGTCACTGGCGGGACAAGCACGTATGAAGTGGGATTGTTTCTCTGTTCTTCCCAGCACATGGTGATGAGTTTCCGGGTGTCTGAGCTCCAGGTGCTTCTTGGCTTTGCTGGCCGGAACAAGAGTGGTCGGAAGCACGAGCTCCTGGCCAAGGCCCTGCACCTTCTCAAGTCGAGCTGTGCCCCCAGTGTCCAGATGAAGATCAAAGAACTTTACCGCCGGCGCTTTCCTCGGAAGACCATGGGGCCCACTGATCTTTCTCTGCTCTCTTTGCCCCCTGGCACCTCTCCTGTAGGCTCCCCTGGCCCTCTAGCTCCCATTCCCTCAGCCCTCTTGACCCCTGGCACCTTGCTGGGTCCCAAGCGAGAGGTAGACATGCACCCTCCTCTGCCTCAGCCTGTGCACCCCGATGTCACCATGAAACCATTGCCCTTCTATGAAGTCTACGGGGAGCTCATCCGGCCCACTACCCTTGGTATGACTGTCTGTGGTCCCTCAGTCTTCCTGGACTCCAGTTTCTTAGGTTTTAGTTCTGTGGGATCAGCCATCTGGTATGAGGGCAACTTCTGTGGCTGCCCATGGATGGGCTTGGGAATAACTCTGTCTTTGTGTCCTCAGCATCTACTTCTAGCCAGAGGTTTGAAGAAGCACACTTTACCTTTGCCCTCACTCCCCAACAGGTGCAGCAGATTCTCACATCCAGGTACAGTTCTTATCCTCCTGCCTCGTCCCTGAGGACTTTCCCCTGGACTCTTCCCTCTCACTTTCCTCTCTCTTCTCCTTCCTTCCCTCTGTACCCTCCTCTGCTTGCTTTGTCTCATTCTTTCTCTGTCCCCTGGACATCTTTCTCTCTGTCCATCCTAACCCTCTGAGCTGACATTTCTCCTCCCTGTTGCAGAGAGGTTCTGCCAGGAGCCAAGTGTGATTATACCATACAGGTGCAGCTAAGGTGAGTGGTCCTCCTTCTTTGCCCTACTGGGTTCCCCTCAGGGATGGGAGTAAAGTAGGGGTGTGGGGCTGAGTATGGTGGTGCATGCCTTTAATCCCAACACTGGGAGGCAGAGGTGGATCTCTATGAGTTCAAGGCCAGCCTGGTCTACATAGTGAGTTCCAGGCCAGACGGGGGCTGCAGGGAGACCCTGTCTCAAAAAGACCAAACAATAAAAATAAAAAAATAAAGTATGGGTGTGATAGGTACTCTTCTTCTCGCTCTGCCACTGCCCACTCTGTGGTTCTCACTGAATGCTGAGGGCTACACATAACTATGACTGATTTTTTCTGGAGTTCCTTGTTTTTCTGCCGGATTCACCTCAGAAAACTGCATCCCACTCTTCATCCTGTCCTTTCTCACCAGGTTCTGTCTCTGTGAGACTAGCTGTCCCCAAGAGGATTATTTCCCCCCCAACCTCTTTGTCAAGGTCAATGGGAAGCTGTGTCCCCTGCCGGTAGGTGAACGTTCTTCCCTTCTGGCAGTCATCCCCTGTATTTCAGTTAATGATTGAATATTAAATATAAACTTAAACACAGTGCCTACCAGTTTATTGACTGAATAAATATAATCCAGAGAGTATTAAAACGGGGATGAAGCCAGGTGTGATGGCACACGCCTTTAATCCCAGCACTTGGGAGGCAGAGGCAGGTGGATCTCTGTGAGTTCAAGGCTAGCCTAGTCTACATAGTGAGTTCAAGGTCAGCTGGGGCTGCAGGGAGACCCTATCTCAAAAAGACCAAAAAAAAAAAAAAAAAAAAAAAAAAAACAACCCCGAAACAAAACAGGAATCAATAGTTCCTGTCAGAGCCCAGAAGAGGGACACGAGTTTAACCTAAAGGTTCAGGAATGACTTCTGAGAAGTTATGACATCAGAGCTGACTTATTTTTTTCCTTAAAAAACAAAATCTTAGAGAACCATCCTTAACTCCAGTTCCAGGGGAATCCAAAGCCCTCTTCTGACCTCCGAGGCATTGCACGACACGGGTGTACTCACATACATGCAGACAATACACTCATACACATAAAATAAAATATTAAAAATATTTTTTAAAAATCTTTTTTATTTTTCTTTTATGTGTATGAATATATTGCCTGCATGTATGTAAGGGAATTTATGTTGTGCAGTGCTCACAGATGTCAGAAGAGAGTGTGGATTCCTGGAACTGGAGTTACAAATGGTTGTTAGCCATCATGTGGGTGCTGGGAACTGAACCTGGGTCTTCTTCAAGAGCAGTTAGTGCTCCTAACTGCTGAACCATCTCTCCAGCCCCATAGAGCTGACAGTTATAAGAAGTGAGGTATCTGTGTTGTTCTTCAGGGCTCAGTGAGTGGGTTCCTATTCCTACGGTCAATAAATAAGCTCTCCTTTCTCCCCAGAAGTGAACCCCTCATACAACCCTTCATAGTGCCTTAGTTTTATGTCACTGAGTGGGTCCCCATTCCCTTGGTCATGCGTGAGTGAGCTGGCCTTTCATCTAGAATAACCTGAGATAAGACTTCCATTGTCACAGCAGAAACCCTTCCAAGAGCTGTGTCTCCACTGACCAATTCCTCCCTTCCTCAGGGTTACCTTCCTCCCACCAAGAATGGGGCTGAACCCAAGAGACCCAGCCGTCCCATCAACATCACACCCCTGGCTCGACTCTCAGCCACTGTTCCCAACACAATTGTGGTCAATTGGTCATCTGAATTTGGACGGGTGAGCATAGCTAAAGCAGGGTGTGCCTGGAGGGTTGCTGAGGCTGAAGGGGAGTCATCCAGTCTTGGGAAATCATCTTGCTCTTTATGGGCCTCTGCCTAAAGCCACTGCCTCTGGTCTTTGTGGGTCAAAGAGAATGGGGTGGGACGTATGAGAACCAGAGCTAATTCTCCCTCCCCTTCCCCAAGTAGAACTACTCCTTGTCTGTGTACCTGGTGAGGCAGTTGACTGCAGGAACCCTTCTACAGAAACTCAGAGCAAAGGGTATCCGGAATCCAGACCATTCCCGAGCACTGAGTGAGTAGGACCCTTCTCTTCTACCTCTACTTTAGGCTCAGGGCTTCCTGGCCACCCAGCCTTCATCATGAAACTCATACCCCTCTTGTGACAACTTGTCTTTCATGGACCCAGTTTTCCTCCTAAGTGCCTTCTTAAGTCTTTGTGATTGAGGAGTTGGACCACTCTCAGGCAGTGGTAGATGGCTTTGCATTCCCAATCAAACAAAAGTCCTTTGTATCTCATAGACCCTAACTGTAGCCTTACTAAGAATGGGTTCTCTGTACTGAAAAGTCCTCAGGATCATTTAATCTAACCCTCATATGATGCTTCAATCCCATCTAGATTGTCTTTAACACAGCCAAAATGTCACCCTGATATGTTTAAGCATCTTCAGGGATGGAGAAATCTCTTCCCCATACCCAGCCTTCTTGATCCATTTCTGTACATCCCATGGGCCTCTAAAGACTCTTTCCTCAGCTGCCTCTCTGCTGGGGCCATCTGCTTCTGGGCTACATCTAGCCTTGCTAACTCCATGGCTCTGGCCTCACTCTTTTTCCAGTCAAGGAGAAACTAACTGCTGACCCTGACAGTGAGGTGGCTACTACAAGTCTACGGGTGTCACTCATGTGCCCGGTGAGTACAAGAGGGGAAAGGAAGGGGGAGGTGGGTGGGAGTAAACCTTTTGACTCTGAAGAGGGTTCCTAGGGATACTAGAGTGAGGTTTTCTGGAATGAAATCATAGTAGGAACTCTGATTAGAGAACTTTTCTCCTCAGCTAGGGAAGATGCGCCTGACTGTCCCATGTCGAGCCCTCACCTGTGCCCACCTGCAGAGCTTCGATGCTGCTCTTTATCTACAGATGAACGAAAAGAAGCCAACATGGACATGTCCTGTGTGTGACAAGAAGGCTCCTTATGAATCTCTTATTATTGATGGGTAAGTCTTTTCTTTTTCCCTTTCTTCCTAAGACAGCCACTAAGACCCCCCCTTTAATATATGGCCTACTTCTCTTTACACAAACCCCAGCTTTCATCCTTTCTGTCTTCATTAGCCATCTACTGTGTATATGTGTATACATATATACACATACATATATTATATATACACACACATATATGTGTGTGTGCACTCACATGTGTCGACATTAAAGACTTAGTGTACATAAGGCATCGTGCCCAGCACTTTGCATGCATTTTCTCATTGAATCCTTATGATAACCCCATCATTAAGGATGAGGAAACAGACCTAGAACATCGGAGTCTTGTTCAAGGTCCTATTATTAAATGGCAGAACAATGTAGTGAACTGTTCCAATATTGCCTAGAGCTACCTGGACCTCCCACAGAGCATAGCAATTAGGTCCTTTTTGATTTTAAATATTACAAAGAGGATTTCTAAGATTGGGGTAATGAGGTACTTTGGAGGCCCTGGGTACGCTGATCTAGCTAGTCCATCCCCGCCAACTCCAAGCAAATCATTTTTTTTTTTTTTTTTGTTCTAGCTGGTCTTAATCCAGCCTTCATTATGGCTCTCACATTTTTTTTTTTTTTGAGATGGTTTAACCTGACACCTGAAGTTTGTGAAGCTTTTACTTTCTTTCTTTTTTTTTTTTTTTTTCCCCTCCTTCCCAATGCTAGGGATTGAATCCTGGGCCTGGTTCCAATAGGGTTGATAATATCCTTTTTATAGATGAAAGTAGGAACAGGAAAGTGAGTCTCAGAACTCTGACTACTCCCAACCTCATGAATTCCTATCTTCCTCCTCCTCTAGCTTATTCATGGAAATTCTTAATTCCTGTTCGGATTGTGATGAGATCCAGTTCATGGAAGATGGATCCTGGTGTCCAATGAAACCCAAGAAGGAGGCATCTGAGGTTTGCCCCCCGCCAGGGTATGGGCTGGATGGTGAGTGACCCCCTGTCCCCCAGTTGAGCTAAATCTTGGGTGGCCCTTTTTCTGAAACAGTCTTCTTACCAACCACAGGCCTCCAGTATAGCCCAGTCCAAGAGGGCAATCCATCAGAGAATAAGAAGAAAGTTGAAGTTATTGACTTGACAATTGAAAGCTCATCAGATGAGGAAGATCTGCCCCCAACCAAGAAGCACTGCCCTGTTACCTCAGCTGTCATCCCAGCCCTACCTGGAAGCAAAGGGTATAAGAAAATGGGTGAACCTACTGCCAAAGAGACAGGGGAAATCAGGAGCTCCTTCTAATCACTCGGCAAGCCTTGGAGCATGGGAAGGGTGGAGGGAACAGAGGGCACTGGGGCAGCAAGCAGGGCTGGTGAAGGCGTTTGCTGTTTGCTAGCTGCTCCAACTCCTCCTCTCCACTCACAGAGTCCTGACATCTGGCCACCAGCCATCTTCGGTTCTTCGGAGCCCTGCGATGGGCACACTGGGCAGTGATTTCCTGTCCAGTCTCCCACTACCTGAGTACCCACCGGCCTTCCCCCTGGGGGCTGACATCCAAGGTATAACACTGATGCTAAGGTGGAGTCCTGCCCTGTCACACCCCCCTCCAGCCAATCCCTTTTCCAGAGCCCCCAGGATGGTGGGGGGTTTTTCTTCTGGTGGGGAAAAGAGTCAGAAGGGGGTTGATTTTATTTTTCCTTTCCTACCAGGTTTAGATTTATTTTCTTTCCTTCAGACTGAGAGTCAGGTAAGTAGCCCTTCTCCTACAAAGATCTGAAATCTTGGAAGTTTCTAGACATCAGTGGCACCCCTTTCCTCTGTTCATTTTCCCTAGGGGCCTAAATCTGATTTTTTATGAGGGGAGGGAGGTGGCAGCAATGTCCCTCCCTCCTCAGCCCCACAGGTACTCCTTATATTTTACATGCCTGCCTAGCTTCTTCAGTGTACTTCTCCCTCTGCCTTCTCACACCCACACTTAGAGCCAGGCCTGTCCTGGTGGACATTCCACACATGTCAGATACCCACAAGGACAACTGGAGCTGGAGGGTCTTCTTCAAGGCAGGGTACAAGGGAGGGGTATGGGGAAGTAGAGCAGTCAGAGAGGTTCCCCCAACTTGCCTACTCAATGCCTTGAGACCCACAGAGGCTGAGTTACCCTGTGAAATAGTTTTGAGATGACTGATGGGAGGTGGTGTGTCAGGATAAAAACCTTAAACTGTGTCCTTGATTCCTCTAGCACTATGGTCCTTCTGTCATCACTTCGCTAGATGAACAGGATACCCTTGGCCACTTCTTCCAGTACCGTGGGACCCCCTCCCACTTCCTGGGCCCACTGGCCCCCACGTTGGGGAGCTCTCACCGAAGCAGCTCCACTCCAGCACCCCCTCCTGGCCGTGTCAACAGCATTGTGGCTCCTGGGAGTGCCTTGAGGGAGGGGCATGGAGGACCCCTGCCTTCAGGTCCCTCTTTGACTGGCTGTCGGTCAGATGTCATTTCCTTAGACTGAGTTATTTGGATTCTGAAAACTTTACTGGCCCCCAACACTGAGCAGATATGCTGTGGATTCCCAGACCCTGGCCATTGTGGTTCCTCAGGGGGTCTTTGGCCAAAGGTCAGACCAGACTTTTATGGGTTCCTGCTTTAGGCCTCATCTCTGCCTAACAAGGCCAACACCCAAAGGGTTAACATTTAACCTCTTTTTAAGGACACTGGGTCTGTTTTGGGAAATGCTTTGATGGGTCCATTCCTCTGGGTATGTTAACCTAGGCAGTGGAGGGCAAACGGGAAGGGACAGGAGTTGGGGGAACAGCAGGATCCTCAGTCTTCACCAGATCTACAGCCTCTTGGGGGAAGGGGCACCTTTCTGGTCCCCAAGATGCCCTCTCTTCTCAAACTCAAACATCTGTTCATTTCATGTTTATTCTGTGCCATCTGGCTACACAGTTAGGTGGCAAAGCCAAGACAGGCAGTTTCAGAGATGGACAGGGAACTCTGTTTTGGGTTGCAGATTTTTTTTTTTTTGTATATAAACAAGAAAAACCAAAATGCTCCAAAGATGTCTCCCCCCCACCTTCTACCTCCCAGTATGACCTGAGGAGGTAGCAAGGCCTTACTTGTGATCCCCAGGGGCTTGTGAGCAGGGAGTGACCTGCTTATTGCCTGGGTCTCTATTTATATATTTAAGTTCACAATATTTCTTATGCTAAACAGCCAAGGACCTGAGCTTTTAGAGACCTGGTCTGGATCATTCTGCACCTTTCCTGGGTGGTGGGAGGACCCTTCTCTTCTTCCCAATCTTTTCAGGGTTCTCCAGGGCTGAGGTCCTATGTTGTAATTTTACTTTCTATTCCCAAAGTTGTAGCAAAGTTCTCACCCATAATAAAGGTTGTGAATGTTCTGTGAGTGTCATGGAGGTGGACCAAGGAGGGGATTTTTTATTTCACTTTCTAGACTTCTGGTTTGTGGGGAAGAAGGGCCATGCTCCATCCTTCCTTTAAAAATGTTATTTATTAATGCATAAGTGCCACATGCCATATTGCATGTGGAAGTCAGTGGACAGCTTTATGGGATGTTTTGTTTCCTTCCACCTTTACATGGGTTCACAGGTATCAAACTCAGGTCTCAGGTTGCTAGGCTTGCATGGCAAGAGCCTTTACTTGAGAAACCATCTTGCCAGCCCCCATCTCTCTTTTGCTGGTCCAGGGTCCATGTCAACATCACTTTCACTTTCACCTGGGGAGGAGTCAGGGGAGTTTGCAGTAAGCTTTTCCAAGAGCAATTATTCTTCCCTTCTTTGTTTCTTTTGATAACCATAAGAACACTAGACCATTCCAACCCAATGCTGTGGTACCTTCAAGTCATACTATACCTTTATCTGCCCAAATGTTGTAGCCAGAGCCTGAGGGCAAACTTGGTTCCAGGGCTGACCCTCTCTTTGTCTTCTCCTGTGGTTGGGGTCATCCGCAGTAGTGTGGATGTGGGCAGGACCAGAGGTTGGGTTCTTCCATCATCCCTCAGTTCTATTACACTGGATTATGACAGTTCCTGTCTGAATTGTGCCTTGTAGCTTAAAATGAACTTACACGTGTTAGGTCATTTAATTCTCCCAATTACTGCAGGAGGTAGGTGGGTGAGTGTTAGCTTCATTTTATAGAAGAAACAGGTTCAAGGAGATTTAGAGCAAGAACCCTCAACACTTGGCGTCATTCAGATCATGTGGTTTCCTAATTATCAGGACACTACTGACTCCCCAAGTCTCTCCCATAACACACAATTCCATCCTCAATAGAGGGAAGACGCTGAATTCAGTGTGTGTGTGTGTGTGTGTGTGTGTGTGTGTGTGTGTGTGTGTGTGTGTGCTGATAGCTAGAGAAGAAGTTCCTACTTACTGGACAGAGGGTGGTAAGTCTTCAGGGAGAAGCCTGAGTGTCTTTGTCCCATCCTCTGTGGCAGCCACAGCCTCTGCTACATCTGGTCCCAGCCACATAAAGGCGCTCACCTCATTTGGGTTTACTTGGATCCGGGCCTGGAGTTAGACATGTTGATCCTTCACTTAAGGGAATAGGCCTGTTCCTGACCACAGCCTGGCCGCAGGTGGAGAGGAGACATACAGAGAAGGGACAGCCTATAGCTTCCCTCTTATTCACAGTCAGAACAGGTTTTGGGGCTGGAGAGATGGCTCAGTGGTTAAGAGTGTTGGCTGCTCTTCCAGAGAACCTGGCTTAGATTCTGAGCCATTTCTCAGAGCCCACAGGGAGGCTAACAACAGTCTATAACTCCAGTTCCAGGGGATCCAATGCCTTCTCTTGTCTTCCGAGGGCACTGCACGACATGGGTGCACTTACATACATGCAGGTAATACACTCATACACATTAAAAATAATAATTAAAATATTTTTTAAAGAGAACCAGGTTTTGCTGGGCGTGGTGGCGCACGCCTTTAATCCCAGCACTTGGGAGGCAGAGGCAGGCGGATCTCTGTGAGTTCAAGGCCAGACTGGTCTACATAGTGAGTTCCAGGACATCTGGGGCCACAGGGAGACCCTGCTTAAAAAAAAAAAGACAAAAAATAAATAAAAAGTTTATTTAAAAAAAAAGAACCAGGTTTCTAGGAGCACCCTAATGCCCCAGTTTAACTACCCCGCAGATAGCCTACCTGCAGCTGCTGCTGTGACTCCTGGGAGATCACAAGTACATAGAGAATAAGATGATGGTATTTGGGGAAGCCCCAGCTCAGCCTGGGAGGGTAGGCAGACTAAGAAAAGAAAAAAAAAAAAAAACAAGTTGAGAACTGTTATTGAGAGTTCCTGAATACAGCCTTTAGGGTAACACAAAATGCTGACCCAAAGCTGAAGAAGTGGTGATAGGTGATAGGTACTATTGGGGGGACATGAGTGAGGGTTGTGGTTTGGGAACTCCAGTCCACCCACACTCCATTTTCCCAGTGGCCAAGGCAGACAGGGATTGTTCTGTGGTTGCTGGGGACTTTTGAGGTCTGCCTCACCTCCCATAACCCCAGAGGGACTGAAGAGAACTGGTTCTGGGGCAGTTGTAGGCCACTCTCTTCCCACAGCTCTCGAAGCCCTCCGTCCAGTAGCTGAGAGTCAAAGGGGGGTAGGTCAGAGTGGCCAAAGCCTCACCCTCCAGGTCTTTTTCTTTGCCCCTGATAGCCCACACCCAAGGTGGTCCCATTCCAGGTCTCCTGTGTCAGAGGGCTGGTACCTCCTCATCAGGTTCCACATGCCCACCTGCAACAAGAATGGAACCAATAGTGAATGGCGTTTGTCTTCACCAGGGAACCCTCTCTCCAGTGGCAGATGAAGTTTGTGACTGTGGATACAGTTCTTGCCCCATCGCTGTATCCGAATAGCAATGTGGAGGGAAAGGGCAACTGTGTTCCACAGTCTTGTCCCTAGGGTGCTCACCTGGAGGGACCCAGATGTTGGGGGAAATGCTGAGGGTGCGTGTCCTTCGGGTCAACAAGACAGTCTGGTCACTGGACTGCAGAATGACGGCCACACACAGTTCCACACCTCGGTTCCTGGGCATCTCGATCCTGGAGGCTCCGGGCTGCTGGTCCAGAGCCGCAAATGGGCAGAAAGGAGGTCTCTGACAAGAGGGGGCCGCCCGTGTTAGGACTTCAGAAGCCTGGCGAGGCTTTCAGAAATCAGGGGTCCATGCGGAGCAAGAGGAGGCCGGGGAAGCGCTTGGGCCCCTAGCCGGTCGCCACCCGCCCCCGCCCACCCTCGCCTGGCGCTGGCTCCCTCTCCCCACCTGGAGTGGAAGCCTCACCGAGGCGCCGGGGAACGGCCTGCCGGAGAGGACGAGCTGTCCTCGCTCCAAGCTGCAGTGTGCGGTCCACGGCCCGGGACCCGGCCTCAAGCTCAGCAGGCCACACACGCTCTGCGCGAAGCTCACGGATTCCGCACGCCCGGACAGGCGCAATAGCGCCCGCGTGGTCGCCATCGCGCAGCGCTGAGTCTCCGCGACTCGCCTGTCGCCCCCTGGTGGCCGCCGCGGAACTTCGCGCCCGGCCCAGAGAACCAGATTGCACCAACCCGCTGGGGAAATTTCGACAAAACTCTTGGGGACAATCCCTGAGCGTAATGTTCATAAAAGACAACGAAACCCATCATTTCCTCTCGAGTTCTTCCTGATTTCTCTGTTCGGGACAAAAATCCCCAGGCTGAATGGTTTCTGGATTCTGTGTTGTTTCCCACCAGCTGTGGGCTGAACTTCACCGACTACAGCCTTCTACAGCCCTCAGCAGGCGCCACCTCAAATTAACGATCTTCACGTCAGACACCCAAGAACTTTTTTTTTTTTTTTTTTGAGACAGGGTTTCACTATCTAGCACTGGCTGGCTTGAAACTCACAGAGATTCACCAGCCTCTTTGCCTAAAAGTCCTGTGCACCACCACTCCACACCAAGATTTTTTTTTTCCAGAATAACTCCTTTGAAATTTTATTATGTTTATTTTATTTTATAAAAATACTATGTCCTTTTATGCATACACTGAACAACCTCCAGACATCTCTGAGAACACACCAAGATTTTTTTTTTTAAGCAGTGTCTTACGTAGTCCAGGCTAGCCTCCAACTCATTTTGTAGCCAAGGCCCATTTTAAACTTCTGATCCTTAAGCCTTCACTTCTCAAGTGCTAGGATTACAGGCTTGCATCACCAAGCTGTTTAGCTAGGGATCCAGCCCAGGGCTTCGTGCATACCAGTCAGGTACCTTACCCAGCTACAACCCCTGCCCCAATAATCATTTTTGGTATTATCCTCCCTTTCATCTCACTCAAATGGCAACCAAGTGCCACAAATTTTACCTCCTTAAACCTTTTCAAATATTTCCTTCTCCAGCCTCCATTGCCTAATTCAAGTCTTCCTTACATTCTACATGTCTCCATAGTCCTGTCCCTCCAAATCTCTGAATCCCTCTCTACAGTGCTGCCAGTGACTTTTTTGGACAGGGCCTCTGTCACTCAGGCTAGCCTCCAACTTGAGAGTCTCCTGCCTCAACCTTCTGAGCATTGAGATTATAGGCATGTACCATTGTCTAGCTCAGAGTAATCTCCCTTTAGTGTGTGGGTGCACATGCCACAGCTCACATGTCAGTTCTTTTCTGCTCTTTCTGTGGGTTCCAGGGATTTAACCTAGGTGACCAGACTTTGGCAGCAAGCACTTTACCAGCTGAGCCATCTCAGCACTCCATACCAGAGTAATCTTTCTTTTTTTATTTTTATTTTTGGTCTTTTTGAGTCAGTGTCTCCCTGTAGCCCCAGCTGTCCTGGAACTCACTATGTAGACCAGGCTGGCCTTGAACTCACAGAGATCCACCTGCCTCTGCCTCCCAAGTGCTGGGATTAAAGGAGTACGCCATCACGCCCCACTGGAATAATCGTTCTAAACCACAGTCTTAGATATATTTCTCCCAGTGCCCTTAGGTTAGGAGGACTAGCACAGCATGGTCTGGAGACACCATTCCTTGATCCTGTTTCTCTGGCTTCAATTCTGCTCTATTTTACAGTCATATTCTATTTTTTTTAGTTTTATAATTTTATTTATTTTTATTTTATGTGTATAAGTGTATTGCCTGCATGCAAGTGTACTTGTGTGGTGCAATGCCTGAGGAGGTCAGAAAAGGGCATCGGATCCTGTGAACTGGAGTTATGGACAATTGGTAGTCACCATGTGCTGGGAACTGAACCCAGGTTCTCTGCAAGAGCAGTCAGTGCTCTTAACTGCTGAGCCATCTCTCCAGCCCCAGCCGTTTGCTATTTGTAGTGGCTCCAGGGACCACGTTGTTCCCCTCTGAGACCCTTTTCTGCTTTCATTTTGAAAACACTCATGTTTTTGTTTTTGTCTTTTTTTCTCTTTTTATCTTTTGTATCCCTGTAGCCCCAGCTAGCCTGGAACTATGTAGACCAGGCTGGCCTTGAACTGACAGAGATCTGCCTGCTTCTGCATTCTGTGTACTGGGATTAAAGGTGTGCATCATGACACCTGAGGAAAACCCTTGATTGTCATCTCACGCATAGTCTACTTATCTTAAACAATTTTAATTGGGGGGCTGGAGACATGGCTCAGCAGTTAAGAGCACTGGCTGCTCCTGCAGAGGATGGAGGTTCAGTTCTCAGCACTCGCATGGCAGTTAACAACCATCTGTAACTCCAGTTCTAGAGGAATCTGATGTCCTCTTCTGACTTCCACAGGCACCGCTCAAATACAGGTGCATTTACATGGAGGCAATACACTCTTACACATAAAAAATAATAAAAAAATAACTAAAAATTGTTAATTAGTTGGACATGGTAGCACATGCCTTTAATCCCAGCACTCGGGAGGCAGAGGCAGGCAGACCTCTGTGAGTTCAAGGCCAGCCTGGTCTACATAGTGAGTTCCAGGACAGCTGGGGCTACAGGGAGACCCTGTCTCAAAAAAACAACAAAAAATTTTAATTGTATTTATGAGTATGTACTTGGCCATGGTGTGTATGTGTGTATATGTGTATAGGTCAGATGAGTCTCCTTCCACCATGTGGGTCCAGGAACAGAATTCAGGTTGTCAGGCTTGGCAGCAAAGCATCTTCACCTTCTGATGAGGGTCTCATTTACTTTGATACATTGTGTTTAATGTAGAAGATGGCAAGTAACTGACACTCAAGTGTGTTATGAAGAATTACCACAAACATCAGTAGAGGGTTTTAAGTGATATGTAACTGCATTAAATGAATTGAAGCTACTGAGATAAACTATATCCAAGATACTAACAAAATTTAGGGTTGCCATTTTTTTTTATTAAATGGTTTTTAAAACAATTTTTTTTAGAAGCATTTCATTACAGCTTCAACATACTGAATAACAGTTTCCAGAGCAAAGATACATCTTGTTCAAAAGTAGCTATAAAATTTTTAGGTTCGCTGTTGAATTAATACAGTTATACTATATTGAACTCAGTATAAGCCCCCTAAGTCATAAAATTGAATGAGATTTTAACCATTAAAAAAGATCTCCATTTCATTTTAAAATATACTGTATCTTACAGAAAGGCTCATTGTTTTTGCTAATAACATCTGTATGTATCTGATTATTACTAGTCATAATCAGTTGCACTCGGATCCTTGGCACCTGTGTATGTCTATAAAGTCATTGGGTAGATTTCAATGGTAATGTTTGTCACCTCTACTAATTAACATGAAGTAAATTTTTATGCTTCCTCCTCAAATATAATTCATTTTTTAAAAATTTGTTGATTTTTGTGTGTGTATATCACACAGAACATCCCAAACCTTCTTATTCAACTATACACCCACTTCCCAGATGGCACCCTCACATAGCCTCCCTCCCCTGACTAGAGCCCTTACACTCTGTTATCCCTGCTACTGCCTGCTGTGTTGTTGGCACCCCAGCCATTCCCCACTACTTGTCCATCTGGTGAATCTAGTCAGCCTATCTAGAGGTCTTTGTTTTAGGAAGGTCAGCTGTTCCTCATCTAGCAGCGATTGGTTGTCAATATTCCTTTAGATAAGATAGGGGTCTGCTGTTCATTTTCCCAGTTCTATGCTGGGTTACTATCTGGGAGTCCCTTTGGCCACCCTGGCCAACTCGA